AAGAAGAAGAAGAAGAAGAAGAAGAAGAAGAAGAAGAAGAAGAAGAACCCACCCCCTGAAGAAGCAGAAAGGCTGAGCTAAGAATATAGCTCTGTGATAGTGCCCCTGTCCAGCAAGTACTAGATTCTGAAGACTCTGAGTTCAATCTTTAGCACTTAAGAAGGAAAGAAAGAAAGGCAGGTACAGGCTTATATTAATTAGGTTGATTAAAAGGGCGGGATTAGCAGCTTCAGAGCAGGTCAGGGCTTCAAGGGACCGAGTGGGTGGCCTTGTCATAAGCAAGGGGACATCTGTAGCATGCTCCTTGTTTGTATTCCATTGCTGCTATTTCCTTCCTCCTCTGCCAGAGGCATCTGTTTGCTAAGGAAAGCGGGATACAAAGAGAGGAGGAAATGGGTGCTCAGCTGTGAACAGCCCCCGAAATATTCCCAAGTCTGAAGGGAGGTAAGAGCTTCCAAACCCTGTCTGCCAAGGCAGAGAAGGATGCTCTAAATAGTTCAAGCTCGTGGAAGAGATCCACAGCCTTCCCCCAGCGGGCTGGATGTCTGAGCTTCATTCTGTGTGTTTCGAGTGGAAGGAAACCTAGACAAGATGCAGTGGCGATGGCCCTAATGGCCCTAGGATGACCATGAAGGGCAGAGGCTAGGGTCACAGTTAAATCCCACATGTGTGTCTCAAGCACCTCTGGGACCAATCTAGGGATTAAGAAAGGTTCATACTAGAAGAGACGATGATAGGACAGCTAGAAGGGTAGGGTCCTTGGCCCACTTTCATGTTCGACCCTAGCGTGACCTCCATACTGGAACAGACCCTGCTTACACACAGCAAGAAGAACAGGGGAGCTGAAGAGCCTCTGGAGGTTCGTCATTAAACTAAAAACAGAACTGGCATAGGATCCAGCCCTAGCACACTCCTGGTGTAGCTAAATCCTGACCCCATGCCATAGAAAGCCAAGCCAGCCGCCTCTGAGCACAGTTGGTCATCCTACAGGGGCTATTTGAATGGATCATGCTGGAGTCTTGTCAGTCAGTGAACGAAGGTTTCATTCCTCTTTCTGCCTCCTGCCCCTCAGAGGGCAGAGGCTCACAGTACATCAGATTAGTCACAGGAAGCAAAGAAGCAGCGTCTCTCCTTCCTGTGCTCCCTGCCTCAGTCATCAGGCAGTGCCATGAAGCCAGGGCAGAGCACGCCCTCCTGAAACCCACCCCCTGAAGGGACTGGCACAGCAACCAGAAGAGGGCCTCTGTGGGCGGGGCCTGGAAGGTGGTATGTAACCTTGGAAATGGTCACTATTCTCCTGAGAGATGGAACCATGCCATGGCTGCCTCTGGGCTGAGATTTAGACAAATCAAATTCACTGGTACAAATTTAATATCGTCATTTACCTCCAACCTCCCCTGCCCCAACATCCCCACCTCAGCCCACTCCCATCAATAATAATAATAACAGCAACAACAATAATAATAATGCTTTCTATATTAGAGCTCCCATTAAAGAGGTTGTTTGTTTTGTTTTGTTTTTTGAGACAGGGTTTCTCTGTGTAGCTCTGGCTGTCCTGTAAACTCACTTTGAAGACCAGGCTAGCCTTGAACTCACAGAAATCTGCCTGCCTTTGCCACCTGAGCGCTGGGATTAAAAGCGTGCAGGATTAAAAGCTCCCCGGGCTTTAAAGGGAGATTTAATAAGAAGCTGCCATCACATCTAGGAGCAGGGACAGCCCTCTTGCAATCTGCTTTGTCTCTCCAAAGTGTCTCCCATCGGGAGAAGTACAGGAACATGACCTTGAGATCCAGGCAGACCCAGGGTGTGGGGCAAATCATTTCAGCCTCCGTTTTCAATCTGAAGGTAGCAATCGGGAATATGGGTGGCCGCTTCACAGAGCCCTTAAAAGAATTAGACGAGGAGTGTGAAATCGTGTCGCCCGGCAGAGAGCCTGACTCAGAACAGGTGAGAAACTGGAGAGAGAAATGCGATTTAATTTGGCCCATCCGTCTGCCATGCCCTCCCCCAGCTCTTTCCCAATCTGCATTTTCAGGGTTGAGTGCCGCCCCGGGAGAGAGTAGGACTGAGTGACTCTGAACCCGAAAGACTGTTTTCAAAGGTCCTAGCAAGGTCACCTGACCCTTGACCTTTGGCATTCCTAAAGAAAGATCTAGAAGCCCTTCAGATCTGCTGACCGAGGACAGGACAGTTTTCCTGGGCCTTGGTCCACCTGTCCTTCTAGAGAAAGTCAGAAAAGACAGCCCCCCGAAAGTGGGTGATCTGTGCCATCGGCCTTGGAGTTCAGGCACTCAGGTGGCCTTTCGGCTACAGCAGGAATGAGGAACAGCTCCATGCACGCCCAGTGAGGGGATTGGGAGACTCGCCGTCTCTCTCTGTGACAGTTGGCCACAGACAGGAAGTGTGTTCTATTCTAACAAAAGAACACCAATTCTGCCTTTCTTCCTCAAGTAACGTGGAAGAAAAGGAGTCCCTGCCAGGTGCAGAAGAAAGAAAGCCTGCTCTTGGCAGCAGGGGAATCAGGTTGCCACAGCAACGAGCTTCTTCCCAAGTCCACTCGTTCTATGGCTTTTGAATTAGACTTCCTCTATGTATATACTCTGGTGGCTTTGATTTGCCCCCCTGCTTGCCACCAACTTGCCTCCAGGCTTCTCCCCCGAGAAGTGCCACTGAAGGCAGCTACTGGCTCCTCCTTTCCAAGCTCAGGTCCCACTTGTCCCTGGGATGCATAATATTTACCTGTTGGCTTTCCCTCGGGAAAACCCAGTGGGCACACAGGGTAAAGAGCCCTCTGCTGTGGGCAGGGAGGAAATGAGAAGTGTAAAAGGAACTTTCATTTGCCTGTTTCAGCTGCTGTCTCGGAGGATTACTGCCTCTGCCTGATAACCTAGGCCTAGTCCTGGAGGCTTCTAGTCTTCATACCATCTAACCTAGGCCTGGAATGTTTTCAGCCTCTGAGACTTACTGCTGAAGAGTTCACCCTTTCTAGTTCTCTCCGAGCTCTGGGCTGCCTGGTTCAGCTCAGCTGTTCTGGCTCAGACTCCTCTCCCAGCTGATTTATTCAATCTGGCTTTTTCTCTCAGACTCTGAATTGCTCTGCTTGGCTTCAAGCAACCTCAAGCAATCTTCTCTAATCTCCCAGCTCCTCCTTATCTCTGACTCAGTCTTCATCTGAGTTTCTCTCTCTCTCTCTGCAACCCTTCTATTACTGTCCCAGTAAAACTTCCTCCTCTTTCTCTGCATTGCGGTTTAAGCAGCTTCCCTTTCCTCTCTCTTCTCATGAAAGTTGGGCATATCCTATTCTGTCAAATCTTTCTCTGATTCATCTTCATTTCTGTCACTCAATTAGACATCACTTTCAAACATGGGTTCTTCCTTCTACAAACTAATTTTACCTTCACTATTTGTGATTAAAGGGGTACCACCACCACTGGAAACCTAAGCTTTTCTTGACCTGAAACTTGCTCTATACCAGGCTGGCCATGAACTCAGATTTGCTTGCCTCTGTGTCCTGGATTAAAGGCTTGTTTGTATTCCAGTCTGA